TTCGTAGGAGGGCTACATTACACTGACCACGGAGCATCAGTTACGACAGACGAGGTTTTCCGGTGGGCGTCGGGCCAGCTGAACTCTTCGCTGAAATACTCTGCCCATTGGTCTATATGCTGTTCCCTACTGTGAACAGCTTGTCCGCTTTTATCGCAGGTTATTTCGCTGAGATTTACCTACAGTTTTGCATATCAATTGAAACAGTCATTGACTATTCCCTGAAGCATCTGCTCCTTCCATTTCACTAGCTATTGTTGCCCAACAGTTTTCACCGTCCTTCTTGAGTTGCCGACCTTTATTTCGATCCTGGCATGTCGGGATCCGCCGTTCTTCTTCACTAGGGTTACTAACTCGTGAGGTATCAAATGCCTCGCTCCGGCTTAAAGCTAAGACCTACTGGTAACATTCATTGTGAACTGCATCACTCGGTTCCATTGTTTATTTACACCATCACATTGAGGGACACTTAGCTCATGCACCAGCTCTGACTCATAACGTGCACGCACCGCTTGGACAGACAGGCGATGATGAGTCAACCAAGTTTAATGTCTTTTTGGCGACCAGCAAGCCGGAGCGTGAATTGCATCAAAACTAATGCGTGGCCAGGCTAAACGCAGGTAGTCCAATAGAAGCCACAATTTCGTACTGAGCAACGCCACCAGTAGCTCAGTGTTATGCGGTTGATTTGAACCAGTGTCCCAGTTGAACTGGAGCACCACGTGGCCGTCCGTCAACGGCTGTCGGAAGTTGGCACTCAACATGAACGGTTGGTGGTCAGTGTAGGACTAAAAAAATCGGTCGCCATTATCTGTTCGCTGGTAGGTCAATTATGACGACCGTCTAGGCAAGCTTCCGAAGCGGCCAGTTTTCGTGCCTTAAACTCACCCGTCAGCACAAATATATCACAGTTTCCGCTCAACTGAATGAGTTCGGTGCTTTTATCGTATAGTCTTATTGTACACCAGAACTGCGGTCGGTCGGTGCATATGCGTAGATAATGAAAAAACACCTCTTGGTGTTGCCTCTCTTTAGGACGCTGATTGACCCCTGAAGCACATAAGCGACTGTTGACGGGGATTCAATCCATAATTGAAACTTCAATTTTATCATTAAGTACAACACCTACTCAACGATACCCTATTGAATGGGCCTGATATGCGGATGAATTACCTTGAGGACAAATCCGGTGCACTCAAGTGGCTTATACTACTGGGATCCTGAATTCGCGTCTCCTATACGGAGCAGACATCGATCGCCAAGGAGATCATTGTAGGCACTAAACAAACTAGTTGGATCATCTGTATCAGTCCTCATATGGAGTAAATGGCCGACGAAGATTCAGAATCTGCAATCTATTTAGCGTGTATGCTTTTTAACTGAAATGTGAGCTCCAGTGCTTGCAAAAGTTATAGACAATACAACACAATACAATATTTCGTAGAAGTATTTATAGTGCTGTTCATCCAAGACCTTCGGCGATCAACAACAAAGTTTTGTGAGGGACTATTAGGGGTCGCAATAAGAGCAGAGGGAGATGGTTAGGCAGAGAAGACAAAGAGTGGAACAAAGGTTAGGGTGAGTAGCATCCCATTCATCACTACCCAACCCGCTCGATGCAATGGACAGCGCGGCCCTGATTATACTACATGACGACCGATTTAGTATGAAATTCTTTATAGTTAGCGTATGCATTTGAGTTTGATGGGCGGATACTGTATCATCATCATACAGCAAGATACAGAGAAGCGAACTTTGCTGATCGCTGCCAAAGTACACAAAGTAATAAAGTAAAAGATGGAGAGGGATTGGGCATAAATAGAGGGCGGGAAAAAAGTGAACAGGGTGCGCAACCTGCTTGTGCATACGTAGTTTTATATACAATTAGTCACGCAACTACCTAAGTCGGAGAAACACTCAACGACAGCTAATTCTCGACCATCACGCATCAGTGCCGTATCCGATTGTTACAGACACTGAGTGATATGGCTGAGTATCGTAAACAGTGGCGTTTGTGCATCTTCTCAATTTCTTTGCAACCTTAGATCACTGAAATTCTCCATTTTCTGTTCGACTCTACTTCAAACTTTCCTGCCTTCTCTTATTCTTCATCCAAATGGGCAGCCAAAAGAAGGAGCACGAAAGTGCATGGTTGATGGTCGTGTAAACTGAACTGAACTGAACAGTGCCAGGATAGAAGATACCCAAACTTGCAGCATCACTTTGAACTTTGAAGGTGCAAAGCGCATACCAAATGGAGTTACACAACTTGAAAGTCTGTCAAGAGCACTTTGCGAATCCTCCATACATTCGAACAGACAAACGATGTCGTCAGGGTACCCTAAATCGCACAACTTTCCTACAGCGACCCATTCAATACCAACATTTTGGAGACGCTCTCCACTCCAAAATTGAATAGGAATGGCGAAATAAGGAATCACTGACGAATAACGCTCCTGGTTTCGGACGACTTCACCACCAACTGAATCGAAGGCTTCTTTCAAGACAAGGAACACTGCGATTGTCGGTTGACGATGTGTGTAACGTAATTAGAGGACTTGACGCGAAGTGAAGATTTGGTTGGAATTTTGCTTGCTGTTCGCAAATACTCATCTCCTTTAAGAGTCTCAGGCAGCGAAGCATCACACAAGTCAACACTTTTGTGATGATCGGAAATAAACTTATCCTGTGGTGGTTTGCACAGTTGCTACGTTATCCCTTCTTGAATATCGGGACGATCAACGATTCACTTTAAGGGATACGCTCTTCCGACCAAATGGTGTGAAGCAAACTAGTAATGGAGTCGACGAATAATCCTCCAGTTTAAAAAGAATAGAGAGAAGCCCATCAGGTCCCGCAACCCTCCCTTTCTTCAACGATTGAATACAACTTCGTACCTCTAATTCTGTTGGACGCTCACATATTACCACCCATGGAGTTTCCTCTGCGATCGTCGGAATAACCGCACTAGCACCGAGCCAGCTGAACTGCTCACGAAAATACTCTGCCCAGTGATCAATTCGTTATTCTTTGTCGTGAATACCATATCGCCTTTTATCATAAATGGTCTCAATGACCGGTATATGACGACCACCAATGCTGCGTATCAGGCGAAGCAATCTGACTGTTCCCTGATGCAGAAGTTACCTCCATTTCACTATTGATTTTGGCACAAAAGTTATCGTGATCTTTCTCAAGGCTTTTCCGGAGCGGACGGTTCAGGACGTCAGGCGTCACCCGTTCCTGTGTTGACCATGGTAGATTAGGATCCTTAGCTTGTGTTCCATTAGAACTACTGACTC